TGCCTGGTCCTGTGCCATCCTCACAACCGTTGTTATGCTTCAGCCCATTGTTGCAGCCACTGTGTCAATCCATCTCATCGAGGGTCTTCCTCTTTTTCGCTGGCTCTCTCCTTTACCAAGCATGATGTCCTTCTTCAGGGACTGATCCCTCCCAATAACATGTCCAAAGTATGTGAGACGTACTCTTGCCATCCTTGCTTCTAAGGGGCATTCTGGTTGTAGTTCTTCCAAGATAGATTTGTTCGTTCTTCCGGCAGTCCATGGTATATTCAATATTCTTTGCCAGCACCACAATTCAAAGACGTCGGTTCTTCTTCCTTCTTCCTTATTCGTCGTCCAGCTTTCCCATGTATATGAGGTGATTGAAAACACCATGGTTTGAGTCAGGTGCACCTTGGTCTGCAAGATGACATCTTTGCTTTCCAACACTTTAAAGAGGTCTTTTGCCCAGATTTGCCCAATGCAATGCATCTTTTGATTTCTTAACTGCTACTTCCGTGGGAGTTGACTGTGGATCTAAGTAAAATGAAATCCGTGACAACTTCAGTCTTTTCTCTGTTTATCATGATGTTGCTTATTGGTCCAGTTGTGAGGATTTTTGTTTTCTATATGTTGAGGTGTAATCCATACTTAAGGCTGTGGTCTCTGATCATCATCAGTAAGTGCTTCAAGTCCTCTTAACTTTCAGCAAGCAAGGTTGTGTCATCTGCATATCACAGGTTAGTAATGAGTGTTCCTCCAATCCTAATGCCCTGTTGTTCTCCATGTAGTTCAGCTTCTCGGATTATTTGCTCAGCATACAGACTGAATATGTATGGCGAAAGAATACAACCCTGACGCACACCTTTCCTGACTTTAAACCATGCAGTATGTCCTTGTTCTGTTCAAAAAATTGCCTCTTGATCCATGTACAGATTTCTCATGAGCACAATTAAGTGTTCTGGAATTCCCATTCTCCGCAATGTTATCCATAATTTATTATGATTCACACAGTCGAAAACCTTAACATAGTCAATAAAACACAGGTAAACATCTTTCTGGTATTCTCTGCTTTCAGCCAGAATCCATCTGACATCAGCAATGATATCCCTGGTTCCACGTCCTCTTCTGAATCCTGCTTAAATTTCTGGTAGTTCCCTTTTGGTGTACTGCTGCAGCTGCTTTTGAATGATCTTCAGCAAAATTTTACTTGTGTGTGATATGAATGATATTCTCTGATAATTTCTGATTTAGTTGGATCACCTTTCTTGGGAATAGGCATAAATATGGATCTCCTCCAGTCAGTTGGTCAGGTAGCTGTCTTCCAAATTTCTTGGCAAGTATTTTAGTAGGGAATAAAAGACACTGACAAACTGGTTAGTCATGGAGTGAGTTGAAGCTCTGGATGAGCATTGAAGCCAGACCCAGTATATTTTAAAATAACTGCTAAAAAGACATATGAGATTCTTTCTGCTGTTTGGCCAAGTAGCTTAACTAGCTCTATTAAAACGTTTGACATCTTTTCAGTCCTTGATGTTCTCTGAAGAATGGGCAACATTCTCTGGGTCTGAAAATTTTTATTATGGAGTCCTGGCGGCATAATGGTTAAGAGCTCAGCTGCTTACCAAAAGGTCAGCGTTTGAATCTACCAGCCGCTCCTTGGAAAAACCCTATGGAGCAGTTCTATTCTGTCCTATAGGGTTGTTATGAGTCAGGATTGACTCAATGGCAACGAGTATTTTTCTTATGAATAATTTTGCAAGTGCCTAGTTTTAATTTTTCACAGAGCTTGAGCTGGATATTCTCCATCATCCCTACAGATCCTTTCTCTGCACTTCTCTGCCCTCCTCCAAGTGCTGGAAAGAGGCCAATTTCTCCAGACTGCATCACTCAGGCTCCCTGGCCCTGAGGCTTCTAGTTGGGTTTGGCCAATGAGAGGTCCTGTTTTATCATACTCCATACTACCCCCTCCCCAGACCCGGTGGCCTGTGGTATCAACAGATGCTGTATTCCTGTACCTACAGTCACAATTCCTTTTGAGTGACCTCTCTCCTATGACTAAAGCCCTCACTGGGTTCAGGGAACATCATTCCTTCCCTCTGCCCCTTTGGGCTTATGACAATAATGGCAGCTCTTATAGGTCTTTCTCAACCTTTGCCCTCATCACTGTAAACAGTCCCTTTAGTAAATCAGCTGCTAGCCGAAAGATCAGTGATTCGAACTCCCCAGCCCCTCTTTGGGTAGAGAAGTGGCAGTCGGCTTCCATAAAAATTACAGCCTCAGAAACCCTATAGGGCAGTTTTACTCCATCCTATAGGGTCTCTATGAGTTGGAATCAACTCTACAGCAGTGGTTTTCTTTTTTGTTTTTTTTGAGTGTGCCTGAGTCAAGACACTTGCTGAAAGTTCCAGCCACATCCCACAGACTGGTATATTGTGAGGCTTTTGAATTGTGGTGTTGGTGAAGAATATTGAATATACCGTGGCCCGCCAGAAGAATGAACAAGTCTGTCTTGGAAGAAGTACAGCCAGAGTGCTTCTTGGAAGCGAGGATGGGGAGACTTCGTCTTTTGTACTTTGGACATGTTATCAGGAGGGATCAGTCCCTGGAGAAGGACATCGTGCATGGTAAAGTAGAGGGTCAGCAAAAAAGAGGAAGACCCTCAACAAGATGGATTGACACAGCGGCTGCAACAATGGGCTCAAACATAGTAACGATTGTGAGGGTGGTGCAGGACTGGACGGTGTTTTGTTCTGTTGTGCATAGGGTCGCTATGAATCGGAACTGACTCGACAGCACCTAACAACAACAACAATATGCTTAGGACAAGACCTTCCTGCTCTTTGGACCCAGGCTAGAGCTTGTTTGTCTTTGACGGGCTCCATATTGGAATTTAAAGATGGCAGTCGTATAGGAATTCCCTGTATGAACTTGTGGAACCACCACTTTATGGTTCGGTGGAGGGCAGCCCCTTTGACCACTGGGTACTGCTGTTTAACTGTGAATTACACATTGAACCTCATGGCTGCCCATTACATTTCTCTTTTTTTTTTTTTATCTTATTGTATTTTAGTTGAAATTTTACAGCGCGGATTAGTTTCTTTCAAAAATTTATACACAAATAGTTTTGTGACATTGGTTGCAATCCCCACAATGAGTCAGCACTCTCCCCCTTTCCTTTTACACCCTGGGTTCCCTGTGTACATGCCTCTAGTTTTGCTATACCTTCCTGCCTTCTCGTCTTTGCTTTTGGGCGGTGTTGCCCATTTGGTCTCGTATACTTGGTTGAACTAAGAAGTATGTTCCTCACGTGTGTTACTGTTTGTTTTATGGGCCTGTCTAATCTTTAGCTGAAAGGTGGACTTCAGGAGTGGCTTCATTTCTGAGTCAGCAGGGTGTCAGGGGGCCATAGTCTTGGGGGTTCCTCAAGTTTCTGTCAGACCAGTAAGTCTGGTCTTTTTTTGTGAATTTGAATTTTGTTCTACATTTTTCTCCCACTCTGTCTAGAACCTTCTATTGTGATCCCTGTCAGAGCAGTTGATGGTGGTAGCTGGGCACTGTCTAGTTCTTCTGGCTCTGATTTTGCTTTGACACCAGATAGATACCCTGGCAGAGTTTCTTTCATTATAACTTTAGCCTTCATATTAATATGATGGTGACGATGATGATAGTAAAGATAATACTTTGTGTCAGGCATGAGATAGGACTGTCATTTGTTTCACTGTTGACCTTAGGGAATGGAGGTCTAGAGAGAAGTGAAGTCACACACACGGTAAGTGGCCAAGCAGAGACTCAATCCAGATCTACCTAACTCCAAATCCTGAGCATTGAACATGTTCCTGTCTTTCCACTTCTAGATTTTGCTATATTGATTCTTATTTCACCTTATTACTCTATCCCAGAAACAACTTATGATATCAGGGATTTCCGTAAAGATTTCAGCCTAGAAAATCCTAGGGCCCTACGGGGAAGTTTTACCCTGTCTCATGGGTTTGCTATGAGTCAAAAATTGACTCAACGGCACCAAACAACAACCACCACGTGTGCTAAAGTAGATTTCTCAAGACGTATTGGATTTCACTTCAAAATGCCTAATGGTAACACTAGCTTTGAATGGTACTTATTGTATTGATCCACATAAACCCTAATATAGAAGAAAAATACTGTGTTGGACATTCTATGTTTGCACCTCTGTGTTCCAACTTGTTTACAGTCCCTTGCCTGTGGGTCTTGGTTGAGTTCAGCTAATATGAGGCATGACCAGAAGATCAGAGCCTGAGAAAAATGTGAAATCATGGCTCCAATGACTGCATGCCATCTGGGCTCTGGGTTTGCAGTGGCTGCATTTCTCCACTGAAGGCTGTAGCTCCTGTTGGGTGATCCTCTTTTAGGACCTGCTCCTGCCCCTTGCTCCTGTAGGCTTAAGTGTTGTAACAGCCCTCTGCTGTTGCTGCCCCTAACCATGCCCACTATTCAGGTCCTCATGAAACTTGCCTTTCTTACTTCATTTGACTGTGCTACCCAGTTCCTGCCAGGAGCCTTAAGTGAGAACATTTTATGACTTGCCCAAAGCTAAAAAATGAGTAAGTTAAAGAATAAAACCCACATACAAGAATCACCTTCTTTCACCCTTAGATGGAAAACTGGACAGGTTTAAATGACCTTAAAGAAATAATTTTGTCAAGACGAATAACGACAAAAACTCACCTGAGAACCAGTGGCCCTTCTGTGGTGCCCAACCAGCTTTTGATGTATCTCATGGCCAGTTCCTCTAAAGGCATTCAGAGAACCACCAGCGTAAGATGAGCTGATGATCATGGACATTTTCAGATTTGTTGCTGTAGTTAGCTGCCTTCAAGTTGGCCTCTGATTTATGGCAACCCTCTGCACAATGGAATGAAATTTTGCCCAGTCCTGCACCATCCCCATAATCAGTTGTGGATGGAACTGTTGTGATCCATTGGATTTTCATTAGCTGATTTTCAAAAGTAGATAACCAGACCTTTCTTCCTAGTTTATCTTAGTCTGGAAGCTCTTCTGAAATCTATTCAGCATCATAGCAACATGCGAGCCTCCGCTGATGGACATCACTGATGGGTGGTGCTGTGCACGAGGTGCATTGGCTGGGAATTGAAGCTGGGTCTCCCTCGTGGAAGGTGAGGATTCTACCTCTGAACCACCAATGTCCCTTTCTTTTAGATTTTCATCTACAATATTGACTTACTAAATCTTATCCATAGGGAAACAGTTTTAATAATATTTTGATCTTAAATTGATTCTCCCTATAATTCTCTGATGTCTTTAATTATACTATCAATAAAAGAATCTTTTTACCTCTGACTTTGCAAAATTACCACCTTTTCATGATTGATAGCTACATGAATAGTTTTCCTGATATTTTAACTTTAAAAGCAATGTACTTTGAAATGAAAATTTTAGGGCATAGCTCAACAGTGAGAAAACTGTTGTTTTAGGGATGACTGTAGCCCCTGGAATGAATGTAAAGTGGAAAATGTCACTGTGGTTTGAGATTATGATTAGAGATAATGGTGTGTCTTTTGAAAGATCCAAAGTGAGGAATAATATTCTAAAAACAGTAGTTTGAAAACATATACTCATGATAGCTCCAACTCCTTTCTCTGAATAGCTGTTCATCCTTTGCATAAAGCAAAGCTGCTCTGGAGTGTCCCTGTGCTAAAGAGTGGCAATGTGGGCTGTTCCAAGGCCACCCTGTCTGCAATCATCTACCTCACCTGCTCAGATAGGGTGGGGTTATCTTAGCTAGTCACTTGCAGAAGTATCCACTGGGAAACTGTATGCCAGCCTTTCTAGCTTTAAGGCTTCCCATGTGTTCTGATGGATTTGCCTGGAGCCCCTTCATTGACTGGTGATGGTGGTGGTGGGGAAGACCCCTTTCCTGTGCCCGTAAGGAGAAGGCGGCACTCTTCAATAGGCAGATGATTGTAAGAGTCTCTCATGCTTTGTCCTTTGTAGATCTCTGTTTTCATGGTTGGGGAACAGGAACGGGTAATGAGGGCATGGCTGGGGTTATGGTTCATAAGACCTGAAAGGTGAACCTGGCCACGTGTTTTGTGGCATTTTTCAGAAAGCAGGATACTTGATGTTTCATTGTTCTCAATTTTCATCCCTGGTAGCTAATTTAGGGGTAAAATGAAAAATCATATTTGATAAAGTTTTAAATGACTCTTGATGCCAGCTAGAGCAATAAAATTGGCTGTGTCTTTGGTAGATCTTCCTGCCCATTTTTCTACTCTAAAGAAGCATAATATTTAAGCCATCTCAGACAGGTTAGAAGCCCTGTAGTTCTTTCAAGGAGTTGATGTTTGTCACCTTTAATGACTGATGCTAGCACTTGACCATAACTAGCAAAGTGTCCAACTCAGTTACAACCTACCTCCTTCAGCTTACAGCTTACGTCCTTCTTTCTTCCTTCTTCAGTGCTGGAATAGAACTATTTAGCTCCATATTCCAGTCTATCCTCCTTATAAATGTGAAGGTAGATGCTCTTTGGAGCCCTGGTGGGGCAGTGGTTGAGAGCTCGGCTGCTAACCAAAAGGTTGGCAGTTCGAATCCACCAGCCACTCCTTGGAAACCCTATGGGCAGTTCTCCTCTGTCCTCTAGGGTTGCTATGAGTTGGAATCGACCTGAAGGCAACAGGGTTAGGTTTTTTTGGTTTTGCTTAGTTGTTCTTTAACTCATCTCAGGAGCTTTTTTTCCCTCCTTCCCTTCTTTCCTTCCTTTCTTCCTCTCTCTCTCTTTCTATTTCCATGCCTCCCTACCTTGCTCCCTCCCTTCTTTCTTTTCTGCCTTCCTTTATTCCTTCCTTTTAGTTTATTAGTCCTGAATCTTTGCATTTTGCGGGCGTGTAGTCACCTGTGCCAACATGTTACTTAATTTTAGGGTCAGAGTTAGACTTTTGTCTTTGGTTTCACAAATGATGTCCGAGGTTGCCAAGGCAAATGTTAATACATCTCCCATTCAGGAAGAATTTTCCAGACAGGGACATTTGCTTGAAAGTTATGACGTGCTTTGTGAGTTTCAGGGAATTTGTAAACATTTATTATATATTTTGGGTAAAGATAATCTGGAAAACATGAGAAGGAAGGAGGGAAAATATGAACCCAAGTTCTCTCCAGGAGAGTTTCAGAAGGGAGAAGATGAGTAAAGTTTCATTTTGAGGGTGATTTTGTGGCCTCGGTTGGATTCATTTGCACATTCCATGGGTGAGCCAGCCACTTGGAGTGGTGATAGAGGGGCTGATTTAGAAAGGAAACAAAATTCTTGTACAGGTTATCAAACATGGGCCAAATGACTTTAGTCAAACTTACTAAGTACAGCTAAAGGTCCGTGGAGAGAGGGGAAGGAGTCAGGGAAAGTTTCTTGTAATCCGTGTCATTTGACCTGAACGTTTAAGCCAAGTTCAGACATGGAGAGATGGAGGTGAGGAGAGACAGGAGGATAGCTAAAAGTTTCCCCATAAATAGGACAGCATGAACCAGGCACGGTTTGTAGATGCTGGTTGGTTCTGGTTCGATGAAATTAACCTGGTGCATAGCTCCTAATAGCATTATTTTCTAGAGGAAGTCAGAAGGAAATCATCCAGGAAATCTGTATGATGGGATCATTAAACATTTCAGTGAAAGGTACCCTTGCAATTAATTTTATTTGCCACATGTATGCTTATGAATCACTACATTTGTTAGGATGTTGTGAAAAGGTCAAAACTAATTGTATGTTGTTATGATGAGCTTAAAACTCTAGCTGTCATTTGTTATGTTGGGTCCCTTGGGATAATGCAGACTCAATTCCATCCCTACATTGGAGTTTTGAGTGTCATTTTTTAAACCTTTAATGAGAATGTTTCTTTCATCACTGAAATTTGGCTTATTATCCTTAATGCCACCAAACTACTTTAAATCTTGGTGAGGCTTTCTTAAAAATGGTCTCACTTTAATTTACTGCCCTAGGTACAGAATTCTTCATGAAGACAAGGAAAAGCAGTCTGCCTTTTCAGAGATTCTGCAAGTAGCTTAATGACAGATCTGCAAGTACTGAAGAAATTATAAACACATTTAAAATTTTCTCTTAACACTGGTTACTTGAAAATCTTTATGTTGTGTGTGTTCTCCCTTCCTAAGATGACTATATTTCTTGGTCTCCGACTGAAGAATCTACCAGCATGTGTTCCTTGTGAGCAGACGGAGATGCAAATCTAAGGAAAACTCAACCACATTCACAATTATGGCCTCCAAAAATCAAGTGTCTCAACAAATCTTTGCCTTTGAAATTTGACCTGTTCAGTTCTAATATTCTCAAAGGCAAGGACTGTATTGTCTTCATGTAGCAGATATCTACATGATGTGTGTGCGGGAGGTTTTTCCTTCATTATGTCGTTGTTAGCTGCCGTCAAGTTGACCCTCGACTCCTGGTGAGCCCATGCACAACGGAGCTAAATGCTGCTTGGTCCTGTGCCATCCCGATGATCGATTGAGGATCACACTGTTGTGATCCATAGGAAGTAGATCACCAGGCCTGTCTTCCTAGTCTGTCTTAGTCTGGAAACTCTGCTGAAACCTGTTCAATACCATAGCGACATGAAAGCCTCCGATGACAGATGGGTGGTGGCCAGGCATGAAGTGCATTGGCTAGGAATGGAACCCAGGTCTTCCGCATGGAAAGCAAGAATTGTACCACTGAACCACCAATGACAAGTCTTTGTTTACTACTCATTACATGCAAGAGAGGAGCCCCGGTGGCACAGCGGTTAAGAGCTCTGCTGCTAACCAAAAGGTCAGCAGTTCAAATCCACCAGCTGCTCTTTGGAAACCCTATGGGGCAGTTCTACTCTGTCCGTTAGGGTTGCTATGAGTCGGAATCAACTCGACAGCAACTTTTTTTTTTTTTTTTTTTACTGCAAGAGGTTGGACAGATTACATAGAGTGACTGAAGCGTAAAAGGGATAATTAGGTTCATTCCTCTAGAAGTTTATTATCAGCTGGGAGATCACAATCTAATGGTTTCCCCTGAGGTTGATGGAAGCATGAAGAGGCTTGAGCAGCTCACAGGGTCTATCACATCATGCTATTCGTGTGTCTTCAGTAATGTGACCTGAATGGCTTGCCTTGGGAATGAGAGGTGTTCAAAGAGTAATTTCAAATGAGTAACACAGCTAGTCCAGAGATTAGGTGAGGAGTTCATTTTATTAAATATTAAGAGCTAGAACATGACATTTTTCTACTGAAATGCTTTGGCATTTGGTATGCTTCAGTGCTGCTTCCAGGAGACGCTGATAGCTATTTTGCCGTCAGTTCTACTCCAAGATGGTAGGAGATGATTAATTACTCTGCGGTTAGTTCTTTAAAAAGTGAGTCAAGATTTGTATTAAAATACAAAGATAAGATGGTGTAGTGTTTGTGGTTAACAGTCCAGGTTCTGGAATCTTCTACATTCAAGTGAAAGTCTTGCCTCTCTAACTAAAAAATCAGTCTGACCTCGGTTGAGCTCCCTAACGTCCTTTCTGGCAGTTTCCTTCTCTGCGATGGAGATAGTAATGCAGAGTGCCAACCTCTTGAAGCTGTGGAGGGGATGCTCGGAGATCTTGTATACCAGGACTGAGCAGGGTTTGACTGAGAATATACAGCCTCTAAGAGTTAGTAGAGAGAGCGTATGGTTGTAAAAACGGTCAGCAGTTCAAATCCACCAGCCACTCCTTGGAAACCCTATGGGGCAGCTCTACTCTGTCCTTATAGGGTCGCTGTAAGTCTGAATCGACTTAATGGCAACGGGTTTGGTTTTGTTTTTTGGTGTCATCTGGTAGTTTATCTGCCACTCCTCTGGCCCAGGCCACGCACGATATCATCCTACCCCTGGGTGACTGAGAGAGCCTGCGGGGTGAACTCCCTGTCTTCCTCCTTCCAGTTTTCCTTTAGTCAGTTCTTTCTCTATCCTTAGCCAGAGTGATTCTTACCTGCCAGGCCCACTACAAAAATCAGTTGCTGCCGAGTGGATTCCAACTCATGGTGACCCCATGTGTGTCAGAGTACAACTGCTTCCTAGAGTTTTCAGTGGCTGGTTTTTCAGAAGTAGATCACCAGGACTTTCTTCTGAGGTGCCTCTGGGTGGACTTACATCACCAACCTTTCAGTTAGTATGTTAACTGTTTGTACCATACAAGGACTCCAGATCCGTCACATCCTTTTGCATTTTACATTTTGTTGTTGTTTTTGTTAGGTGCCATCGAGTCAGTTCCGACTCAAAGTGACCTCACGTACAACAGAAGGAAACACTGCCCGGTCCTGCACCGTCCTCAGCCCAATGTTACAACCACTGTGTCAATCCATCTCACTGAAGGTCTTCCTCTTTTTCGGTGACACTCTACTTTACCAAGCATGATGTCCTTCTCCAGGGGCTGATCCCTCCTGACAGCGCGTCCAAAGTACGTGAGATGTAGTCTCACCATCCTTGCTTCTAAGGAGCATTCTGGTTGTACTTCTTCCAACAGATTTGTTTGTTCTTTGGCAGTCCATGGTATATTCAATATTCTTCACCAACACCATAATTCAAAGGCATCCATTCTTCTTTGTCTTCCTTATCCATTGTCCTGCTTTCACATGCATAGGAGGTGATTGAAAACACCATGGCTTGGGTCAGGCGCACCTTAGTCTTCAAGGTGGCATTTTAGTCACACCAAGTTCTTTTGTTTCCTCCAACATCCTGGCCCTCTTCTGTTGCATTTCCATCCGTTCAAAAATGCTACTCTCTCAGCCTGGAACACTGACTGCCCCGTCTTTTGTACCTCCGTTCACTGAATAACTCTGAGTGACTTGTCTGATCGTACGTTTTTTTCTTCCAGGAAGCCTTCTTTGCCCCTGCTCTAGGTTAAATACTTCTGCTGTGTGCTTCTTTAAAGCCCTGATGGTGCAGTGGTTAAGAGCTCAGCTGCTAACCAAAAGGTGGGCAGTTTCAATCCACTAGCTGCTCCTTGGAAACCCTATGGGGCAGTTCTACCTTGTCCTATAAAGTCACTGTGAGTTGGAATCAACTTGACGGCAACAGGCTTTTTTTTTTTTTGGTGTGTTCCTTTAGCATCTGACTTCCCTAGAGGAAGTGCTAATCCTGCTTTGAGTAATACGTTGCTTTTCTTCTTCATTTTACAGTAGACTATGTGAGGGCACGAACCATATCTGTCTTCCTCATCATGTTATCCCCAGACGCTGGAATGGTGCCCAGAATGTGGCGAGCACTTTCATTGGTTGGGTGAGTTTTCCCTTCCCAGTATCCTTTTATCGTATACTCACTGACGTTCTGAGTGCCGTGTAAACTATTTCTTTTTTTTTTTTTTTTTTAAATTGCTGTGCTTTAAGTGAAAGTTTACAATTCAAGTTAGTCTCTCATACAAAAATGTATACATACATTGTTATGTGACCCTAGTTGCTCTCCCTGTACTGTGACAGCACACTCTTCCTTTCCATCCCAGATTTCCCGTGTCCATTCAACCAGTTCCTGACCCCCTCTGCCTTCTCATCTCGTCTCAGGGTGGGAGCTTCCCACTTAGTCTCATGTATCTACTTGAGCTAAGAAGCACAGTCTTCACAAGTATCATTTTATGTCCCATAGTCCAGCCTAATCTTTGTCTGAAGAGTTGGCCTCGGAAATTGTTTTAGTTCTAGGCTGATAGAGAATCCAGGGGCCATGTTTTCTGGGGTTCCTCCAGTCTGGTCTTTTTACTAGAATTTGAGTTCTGCACCCCACCTTTCTCTTGCTGCATCAGGGACTCTCTGTTGTGTTCCCTGTCAGGGCGGTCATTGGTGGTAGCCAGGCACCATCTAGTTCTGGTCTCAGGCCGATGAAGTCTCTGGTTTACGTGGCCCTTTCTGTCTCCTGGGCTAATACTTTCCTTGTGTCTATGGTGCTCTTCTTTCTCCTTTGCCATGTAAACTATTTATGAAATTTGATTTTGAAACACAGAGATGAATGGTTTCATCTTACTGTAGTAACTAGATACTTGGCGTAAACTGAAAGAATTTTTAACTTAGAAACGACTGTGTCTATCTGAACAGGTAGTGTCCCTGGGTGGTGCAAATGGTTAACACCCTTGGCTGCTAACCAAAAGGTCGGGGGATCAAGTCTACCCAGAGGCTTCTCAGAAGAAAAGACGAGCAATCTACTTCTGAAAAATCGGTCATTGAAAACCCTACGGGGCACAATTCTACTCTGACACACGTGGGTTGCCATGAGTCACAGTCGACTCCACAGCAAATGTTTTTTATCTAAACAGGTAAGGAAAAAAAAAAACCCAAACCCATTGCCGTGGAGTTGATTCTGACTCATAGCGACCCTCTAGGACAGAGCAGAACTGCCCCACAGGGTTTCCAAGGAATGGCTGGTGGATTTGAATTGCTGACTTTTTGGTTAGCAGCCAAATGCTTAACCACGACGCCAACAGGTAAGAGGATTTTTTAGAATAGCAAACTCAACCACGGGATCAGAGACGTAGCGCGGGGTGGGGAGTATAAGGGGACAGTTGCCCCTGGGATCAAGTCCAAATGGGCATGAGACGAGGCACCGAATGACATTCCGAGGCACCACAAATATGAAAGGTGCCTGACTGAGGCAGCTGGCCAAGAGGGAGAAAGTGTTTCTACTGACACGTTGCCAATATCAGCGTGCAGTCACCTAGAAATTGGGGGGAGGGCACAATTAGAGATTGCTCTTTGGTGCTGACTACCCTGGCTACCCTCGCTACCTCCCTGCCACAGGTGACCCTTGGTAACCAATGTTGTGAATGGCAGTGAGCAATGGGGAACAAATGGACACTCAGACTTATTCTGGAAAACAAAAACAAAAACCCTGTTGTTTTATTATTATTTAGAAAGCACTCACAGCAATTTATTTGGGGGGGAAGAGAAAATGAAAAATACATGAGCATACAAATTCATTTCAAAAGAACTGGTGTCACTTCCCAAGGAATAGCCGTCTATGTGAGAGTCTGCAGCTCGCGTTTTCTTGTATCTGTATACATAACCGGAGTTATATGCACAGATGTATGGAAAGTCCTGGCACGCCTGTCAGAAATCTTTTCACCGAAAGTCGGCCACGAGCATATCCTTTTCTGTTCCCTGAAAGTTTCCTGCAGATGTTTCCTTGGATCATGCCACAGTCTCTTTTCTCTGAGTTCGTCTCTGATGGCAAGTAAGGATACTTGTGAAGGAAGATTTCCCCTTAGTTCTTGACTTTTTCTTTAACTTTTTCTGATTCTTGAGTGAGATTCCTAGCTCTTCCATGATGGCGTTGAAAGAGAGACACTAGAGGGCGTGAAATAATAGAGCATCAGTTCAATTACACTTTCTTCATCTTACCACGGCTTTGTCGCTTACCTAGGCTGGTATGAACACAAGGTATTGATTCTAAGACAACTCCACCACAAGGTAAGTTCCCAGCCAGTTCCCGTCACCTCCTCCTCCACCCACCGGCCACCCACCTTTTCTACTTGGGGAAACTGAGGCAGCAAGTGAGCTGGGCAGACTTTGGGGTTTCACTCACAAATGCAGTAGTATAAAATTCCCGAGTCAGAGAAAACTCCGAGCTCTCAAAGTAGACAACTTACCTTTGCTGAGACACCAAAACAGAGTTACATTAAGTCATTTCTCCCATTAGGATGATGCAAACATTGATAGGTATATCAAGGCATACGGACACTTCGTAATGCTATAGAAAATGAACAAACCTTCTCTACACCAAGGCTTTGTTTTTTTCTCCCATGAAACCTTACTTTGTTCCTAAAATAAAATCTAATTCTTGATGACTTTCCTTTCTGATAAAAAAAAGAAAAAAAAAACAATTTTAAATTATATATTTTCTCCAAAAAACAGAGATTCTGGCAGCAGCAATGATGCAGCTGTGGTTGAAATGAAAATAACGTGGTACTGAACTGCACAGCAAAAGTGACGGTGTAATACAAAAAGAAAATGAAATTATGATTCTAAAATACTATACATATGCAGATGGCATATATGTATGATATATATACACACATATCCATGTGCATTACAGTTACACTCTATCTAGTCACATGCACGGTGTATAAATGTCCTAATAAAACATAATTTGCTGTCATTTCTTCCAGACACAATCAGATATTTGAGTGATAAATTCCTGCTTATTGGGATTTCTATAAAGTAGCGGTGTTTTTGATGAGGTTAATTTGAAAACATCCTCTGAAAAACCAAAAGCCATTGGGAGAGCATATGGAAGTACAAGCATGACTCTTTTACTATTTGCTCCCCAAATGAATATGGTTGAAAATCAAAATGACAATATGCCACCGTATGCTTTATCTAGACTGTAAGTGTTGTCTTGAAAGAATCGACAGCCTCTTCCTGCAAAATACTTAGCATCCACTGTGGTCCCTACATATCAATGTGCAATATTTATTTTTAAGAATTTTAAAATTTCCATTTTGTTCCAAAAGAAGAATTTGATGTCGTTTAGATAAACAGTATTTTTTTTTGGCTTGATTTGAAATCTATCCATATAAATTTATGTTCTAGATGTAAATTACTAGCCCACCAGACAAATGCCTCATAAAAACTGGTTGTTTGCATATGACTTTTGTCTCTTTTAAGCATAAGTTTTTATAGGGTCCAGATTTCATTTGCAGTGTTCTGTGATGCTAAAAACTTAAAATGCAGGTCATGGGTGTTTAATTCACTTCCCATTGGCAGGTTGTGGCTTCAGTGAATGGGGAGAAGTATCGTGTTACACAGAGAAAAAATTCAGAAACATTTCCTATGAATTATATTTCAAAAAAAAGTGACAGCAAGTATATCACAAATAAAATATAATAATTTTTGGTAACATACTGTAATGTCAAGTTTATGTGTTACTACTGGATCAAATGAATATTTTATAATGTCATTGGGATAGATAGGGTTGTAGTGGGGTTTTAAAACTTTGCTCAGAAAAGTATTTCTTTGGAAGAAGGCTTTTTGCACAGGATATTTCTGGTTCCTGGGAGATTATTAAAATGGAAGGAAGTGGGGAAGGAAAAGAAGGAATGCCAAACATTTTACCAATGCTATTGTGTATAAAGGAGTCCCTGGGTGGTGCAAATGGTTAACACGCTCAGAAGCTAACTGAAAGTTTAGAGGTTCAAGTCCACCCAGAGGCACCTCAGAAGAAAGGCCTGGTGATCTACTTCTGAAAAATCAGCCACTGAAAGCTGTATGGAGCACAGTTCTCCTCTGACATACGTGGGGTCACCATGAGTCAGAATCCACTCACAGCAACTGGTTTAGGTTTTTGGTTTACTATATATAAACCTCACAACAACTTTCAGAGACAAGGAAGGAGTTATTATCCCCATTGTATAGCTGGGGACATTTACTATTGGAGATATTAAGTAACTAGCCCAAGAAATGTGGATAGTAAGAAGAAAATACTTCACTTGTTCTCAGTCCATTCGACTCGCCAAACCCAATTGCTTCCATTTGAAATCTCTGACACCTTGATTTTTATTTCTTTTTAAAAATCACTATATCTTTTTGTGAATTGTTTTCTCATAAAACATAAATATATGTTAAGAAATTCCAGTCTTTCTCTTTTATTTGAATTCTCAGGCATTTAATTTTTGTCTTAGTTATCTAGTGCTGCTGAACAGAAATACCATAAGTGAATAGATTTAATAAAGAGAAATTTATTCTCTCACAATCTAGGAGGCTAGAGGTCCAAATTCAGGGTGCCAGCTCCAGTGGAAGCCTTTCTCTCTCTGTTGGCTCTGGAGGAAGGTCCTTGTCATCAATCTTCACCATCGAGGACTTTCTCAGCACAGGGACCCCGGGTCCAAAGGACACTCGCTCCTGGTTCCACTTTCTTGGTGGTATGAGGTCCCCATGTCTCTCTGCTTTCTTCTCTCTTTTATATCTCAAAAGAGATTGGCTTAAGACACAATCTAATCTTGTAGATTGAGTCCTGCCTCATTAACATAACTGTCGCTAATCCCACCTCCTTAACATCATAGAGGTAGGATTTACAACACGTAGGAAAATCCCATCAGACAACAAAATGGTGGACAATCACACAATACTGGGAATCATGGCCTAGCCAAGTTGACAGATATTTTGGGGGGACACGATTCAATTATGACAATTTTAGACATTTCATTTCACTTTATGTTATAACAGTCCATGTGAGTATCCAAGTGTGACTCA